GAACCTGAAATGGTTTCGGCAGGCTGGGATGACACCATTAACATCTCTGATGACTAGAGAACCCTTTTATTAATAGGTTCGAACCCTTTGGAGGGTTCTCATTTTTTTTACAATAAAAATTAATGACAAAGTTCCGAAAAGGCAGGGTAATACCTTTTCAGATACTTAGCATTAATATTCTCATGTACCAGTTTTCCTTCTTGATTTATGATAATAAAAGCTCCATTTCCAATTACTTTATGAATGATGAAAGGACCTTCCCAGTTGGGAGATCACTTCCCTAATTGGTCCACCTTCTTATAGGTAGGCAGAATTGTCTTCCAGACTAAATCGCCTTCTGCAAAAAACTTAGGGAACACCTTTTTCCCATAGTATTTCGCCATAATCTCGCCCTGTCTAACCACTTGATCCAAAGCGTTCAATCGATCTGTATCTAACTCTTCCAACTGTCGCCACATCTTTTGTAAGTACACCTCATCAATATAGGCTGTTGTACTGGTTACCCTGGGTGAAGGCACGACAAATTCTGTAGGTAATACTGCATCTTGCCCGAATGTTAATTGGTATGGGGAGAATCCAGTAGAAATATTTCTACTATTTCGATGAGCCCACAATGCCTGAGACAGTAAAGTACGTCATTTCTTTGGATTTTCCTCTACCATTTTTCGGATAATGCCAATGATAATCTTATTTGCTGCTTCGGCCAACCCATTCACCTGTGGGTAATATGGTGAAGAATGGTGTAACTTAATATTGAATCCAGCCAAAAACTCAACAAACTTTTCCCCAGTAAACATCAACCCTTGATCAGTTGTGAGAGTGTGAGGAATTCCAAATCGATATATTATATGATTGAGTACGAATTCAATCACTTCTTTCTGCATCACATTCTTCAATGGAACTGCTTCTACCCACTTGGTAAAATAATCAGTCGCTACCAAAATGAAAGAATATTGTTTCGACGAGCCTGGATGAATTTTCCCAATTACATCCAACGCCCAAGCTTTGAATGGCCAAGGTTTAACCATTGTCTGCAATTTTACTGTTGGCAGATGATTTAAAGGACCATGCTTCTGGCATTCTTGACATCCCTTAGAAAATCTGATACAATCATCAAAAATCTTCGGCCAATAAAATCCCATACGATGAATAGCCCATCGCATATTTAAACCTGCCCGATGTGCGCCACATATTCCTCCATGGACCTCATCCATTATTTTAATAGATTCCTCAGGTCCCAGGCACCTCAATAAAACCCCTTCAAAGGTTCTTTTATACAGAACCCCATCAATAAGTTGAAAACGCAAAGCTTTCAACCGAATACCTATAGGAGTGGCAGAACTTGGGGATTCCAAATACACTATAATCTTTGTTCTCCAATCAATCCCAGAATCAACACTGCCAATCATTTGCTGACAAGCACTCTGAGCCAAATTATCGGCCAACCGATTCTTTGCTCTTGGTACATGCTCAAAAACTACCTCCGCGATTCTATATAACAGATGAAGTACTACATCTCCGTATCTACGCAAATAAGGAAAATTACAAGCGTACCGTTTCAACACTTGGTTAATAACAAGTTGAGAATCCCCATAGATTAAAACAGACTGCAATCCTTTAGCGATAAGTGCTTCCAAACCCAAAATCAGTGCTTCATATTCTGCGGAGTTATGCGTCATCTCTTCCATTTGAAGTTGCAAATTAATTTTGCCGCCTCCTGGTCCTTCTAATATTACTCCCGCTCCTGACCTTCCTTTTGAACGAGAACCATCAAAAAATATTTTCCAAGGACTGGTGCCGACATAGGGCATTATTCTGTTTTCTGATGACTCATCGCTTGCAAATTCAACCAATAAATCAGCCACGACCTGCCCTTTCACAGCTTTGAGGGGTCGGTGCCGCAACGCAAAGGGAGCCAATTTAATAGCCCACTTCATTAATATTCCTTGCATGGTTGGTCTGTGCAGAATTAGTCTGACCAAATCCATTTTAGAGACCACCTCGGTCTCTCTTGGCAGAATATAATGCTCCAACCGAGTGCAAGCAAAGACTAAAGAATAACACATTTTTTTCAGGCATACTGTAATTCAACTCTGGTCCTACCAAAATTTTACTTAAATAATAGATGGCTCTTTCCTTACCATCTTCCCATTCTTGCACCAGACTACTCACAACATCAAAACTGTTTGCCACGTAGAGCCGGAGAGGTCGGTCGCCTCTTGGAGGAACCAACACAGGCGGATTAATTAACGCCTCCTTGATTTCTTCCAACGCCTTCTGTTGCTCTTGACCCCAAGCAAAATCAATGGTCTTATTCCGCAACAACTTCGTGATAGGTTTTAATTTCCCTGCGGCGTTTGATATGAAACGCCTTAAGTAATTTACCTTTCCCAACAAACTCTGTATTTCTTTGACCGATTGAGGCGGCCACATTGACAGAACAGCTTTGGCTTTGTTCGCATAAATTTCTATCCCTTTTTCATGTACTAAAAATCCTAAGACCTGCCGAAACTCCGAAGGCACATTTCGTTGGGTTCATTTTCAGGTTGTACTGCTTCATTCGTATAAAAGCATTTTTTAATCAACCAAATGTGTATCAAAGTCGGTAGATTTGATGATCACATCATCAATATATACCTCCATTGATTGCCCAATCAGATCATGAAAAATGGTATTCATTGCCCGTTGGTAAGTTGCTCCAACGTTCTTTAAACCGAATGGCATAACTTTCCATTCATAGATCCCTAAAGTTCCTGGGCACCTGAATGCGGTTTTGGGTATATCTTCCTTTGCCAAGGAAATTTGATTATACCCTGCGTATCCATCCATCAAACTCAAAATTCGATGCCCTGCTGCAGAATCGATCAACATGTCTGCTATGCGCATGACATATTCATCTTTTGGAGTAGCGAGATTGAGATCTCTGAAATCAATACAGATTCGAATCTTTCCATTTTTCTTGGTTACCGGAACAATATTGGCTAACCATTCTACATATCGATATAGACGAATAAAACCAACCTTCAACAGCTTCTCGATTTCTTCTTTAATCTGGGGCATCAATTCTGGACTCACTCTCCTTCGTGGTTCCTTATAAGATTTAAACCCTTTTTTAATAGGCAACCTATATTCTATTAAACTGCGTGCCAATCCGGGCATTTTGGAATAATCCCATACCAGACATTCCTTGTGATCTCAAATTAACGCTACCATTCGCTCCTGTTGGTTTTTTGTCAATAAACCACTTACCCTGACCATCTTGGGTATCTGTTTGGTTCCCACATTATATTCAATGAGAGGATCCTGACTTGACAAAGAAGTTTCTATTTTTTCCAAGAGATCAGGCCAACGAAAACCTTCTTCTTCGCCAACATTATTGTTGAAAACTTTATTATTATGTAGTCTAACCATTAATTGGTTTAAATAAAACTGCCTAATAAATTTATCACATTTATTTATTTCTTCCATAATTAAACTTCAAATAAATAAGAGTTTATTTTGGCTAACAACAGAGCCATAATACAGAAGACTGTTTCTAATGAAACACGCAACCCTGTGTAGTCAGCTTACAGCCCTTCCAGGGATACTCGTCTACCATAGTTGTCCATGAAATCGGTGGTACGTACTCCGAATAGAGAACCGATTCTTCCACTCCTTCTGTAGAACCGAACGGGTTGGTACTGGCTTCCATGGTGAAAACCTGATCTCCTTCCCAAAACATGATCTGTTGATGGAGAGAAGAAGGCACGCACTTGGAAGCGTGAATCCAGTCTCGCCCCAATAAAACTGAGTAGGTGGTATTGGCGTCTACAACAAAAAACACTGTCGAAATCACCTTTGGTCTGACCTCAATGGGTGCCACCATCATCCCTTCTAGTTTGGTTGGTTGTCCGGTGAAGCTTGTCATCTCAATGTCTACTGGAGATAAATCGCCAACCCCTTTGCCCAATTTTCTTAAAGTTTTGAGAGGCATGACATTGAAAACAGCCCCATTATCAATGAAAACCTTGTTAACCGGCTTACCACATATGTGAGCGTTAATATACAGTGGTTTTAAGTGCGGGATCGCTCCTTCTGGTATAGGTGGAAAAACCATAGGTGGGGGTCTGCCAACCATCGCTGCCCATTCTGGTTCTTCCTCTTCCTCGAACTTTGCCCAAATGGGTTCTTCTTCAGCGAACCTTCGCATATCCGTCATCCTGACTTCGAACCCTGCTTTATCAAGCTTCACTATCTTGCTGCGCAAAACTTTCGTCTCTTTCGGGGCAAAAGACCCGAAAATTATATCAGGAGTCTCTTCCTCTGCATTTTCTATTTCGGGATCAATATTGATCCGTTTGCAGTATTGACATCGGAAACACTTGGCCTTCTTGATAGGCTTGCTGGTCTGCCAATGCTCCTCAGGTCTCTCACTCGAGCTTTTCCTTTTGGGCGATGATTTTTTCTTTTCCTTACCCTTATCTACTCGCTTTCCATGCCGAGCCGCATACCTATGCTTAGCATTACGACTTTGTGTGCGATTCATACCTGAAAATCGAGGATCTATGTCTATTGGCAGAGGCTTTCTATTTCGGCTCCACTTCTCCTGGACTGGATGTGGTTTGCGCGTTGGTCGGTCTCGTACCACGACTTTATCTTTCAATTCCACTTTGAAAGACCCATCTTCTCTGTCCCATTTCTCCGCCACTCTGGTTTCACAAACTTTGAACTTCACTTCCTGGTTGTATTCCCGCTCTTTGGGCTTGGGTTCTTTTCGTTTGGTATCTTAATCATCACTTTGCACATCTTGTGAAGAACGCAAAGAGATCATTGCAGTAGTCACTTTTGGGAAGGGCTGATGTTCTACTCCCATTGTTACATACTTGAATCTTCCTGCTTTGATAGCCTTCTGTATTTCCTTTTGAAAATGTGTACATTGATTAGTGTAATGCGTAAAAAAATTATGCCACTTACAATATGGCCTTCCCTTTATTTCTTCCTTCGTTGCCAAACGCTGCCCTTTAGGAATGCGAATTTGCCCATCTGCCAACAGGAATATCAAAAATTTCATCTGCTTTGGATACATCGAAGGTCGGTTGTTCCCTCTCCTCTGTTCCCAGCAGGGGCTTTAGTTTCGAACACACGTATGGTTTGCCACTCACAATTTCAGCTGCCATCTCTTCAATGATATTTCCCTGTTCATCATCTGGCGAGTATATTTCTGTATCGACACTTGCCATTTGCTGTACCCTGTTCCGACGGAAATTGTGATCTTTTTCTCTAAACAAAGACTCCAATCTCCCTGCTTTGGAGGCTAGACTAGCCAAGTCCTGAACATCATGGGCTGTCAACGCTTCTCGAAGTCTGGAATGCATATTTCTGACCACTAAATTGGTCATTTCACTTTCCTCGATGATTGTCGGGCACCGTCCTTTCATGAGACGTATCCGTTTGATAAACTGATACGCAGTCTCTTCTGGCATCTGCCGAATCTCTAAAAGATCTGTGAGTGAGACCGTTGGGAGGGGATTAAAAAATCTTGCATGGAATGCAGCCTCCAGACTTTCCCAATTTTGCAACTGCCTTGGCGGCAGATTTGCAAACCATGAAAAAACGGTTCTTGTAAGCGATAATCCAAACAACTGTAATTTGTAGAACGAATTATTGCCTACTTCCCCTAATTGAGCCATGAAACGTCCCACATGCTCAATGGTTGATGCCCCATCTCCTCCAGAAAATGAGTGAAAATCGGGTGGTCTGTAATTCCTTGGAAGCGGATGCTCATTAATGATTCTCTCTGGGAAAGGCCTTTGGTATGCAGGTCTGTTGACCGTCTGAGGGTTCATTCCAAAATGCACTCTCAAGACCTGAGCAATGTCCTCTAGATCTACCCTAGGTGGGATAAGATTCAACACAGGAATGAGATTGTGAGCCTGACCTCCCATTCTTTCCTCTCTGGGGTCGGTTGGTTCGGTCCTAACACCCAACGGAATATTATTTGGGTATGTAAGAGGAGTCTTCCCCCTGTCAACCCTAGGGGCAGTAACACTTGGAAAAGTGCTATCCACATACGAGGGCCCCGCAAAATTTGCCTGTAGTCTGGATGGTGATAATTCTGGTGGCGTCTGTATAGGTTGCAAAGTAACCCTTGATAACGCCTGATTTAACGTATTTTGCATAAGATTTTGTTGCTCCCGCAACATTTGTTGCTCACGCAACATATTCTGCATCGCCAAATTATGCTGATTGTTCAATTGCTGAACATAAGAAACCCAGTCGGTAGGTGCTTGTGGCATTTCCCCTGTATTTGGCATGACGGGTGGTGAAACTGCTTCTCCCACTGGTGCTGAAGATGCTTGAGGCTGTGAGCCTGCCATGTGGATCCTTCTGATGATTCGGCCGGACCTCAGTCGTATGAAACTCTCTGTTGACGTAGGATCAACAATTTTGCCTTTCTCCCACTGTGGTCGCCAAATTGTTGATGCAATTTTTCAACAATAAAAAGTAAAATCCGAAAATAGAGAAATATCTTCGAATTTGATAGATGAGTGCCCGAGATTAGGAATCTCTAAACACTGTAGAATACATAAAATAAAATAGGAAAAATAAAATAAAAGACTGGAAAATAAAGTGGTAATCCCCAAAAGCAATTCTCTTGAATTTTTGTCAGTTGAAGATGCCTTCTCTGTACAGTACGGAATCCTTAAATAACCCCTTGAAGATGCGGTTCGAACCGCTGCCTGGTCGGTTACCATAACCGCTGTTAACCACCCCAGAAATTCTCTTATATTGACATGTGTGTCAACCGTCCTACCACGTCCGACCTTTGAAAACCGCTCGCCAGTTCAAACTACCTTCCTCTACCAGGAACTGCCTTCTCACTTGGCCTACAGATTAGCTATTTCACTGCCCGACCTTGTTAGGCCCGACCTTATACTGCCTTATCTCCATAGTAGACCTAACTGTGCCCGACCATCGAACTCGACATGATTGTACTCGACCTCAGCGCCCGTCCTTATCGCACCCGACCTTCGACTTCATACCGTCTCAATTTTGTGTCCGACCTTCTCACACCCGACCTTTGGATTTTATCCCGACCAGGCCCGACTTCGATGTCCGACCAAGTACGACTTCAGAGCCTGACCTTATTAAGTCCCAACCAAGTTTGGCTTTATTACCCGACCTTATTTTGTCCGACCTTAAGCTTGACCCGACCAAGTCATTACAGCTATATTTGGACTTTCGAAAGCCCACTACACTTTTGAATAAATCTTAACCTAATTTGGTAGGCCCATTCTAAAAAAACCCTATTTACCATTTTTTTGTGCTCAACACTATCTTTGTATCTTACCATCTAATAAAATTAGTTTAATCTTTTTACCTTTATTTCTACCATATTATAATATAATACTAATATTTTTAAAACTTCGTACAAAAAGTAAATAAATATATAGATATGAGATGGAGAAAATATATAATAAATATTAATGGGTGTGTTTGTTTGGAGGTCTAGATTTTGAGTTGGGATTTGAATAGTAAAAATTTTGAATTTGAATAATTGTACGATGTGATATAAATAGATGTTGATTCTATGTTTTGAATGTAATAATTGATTTTTAATATAACATAAAAATAAAAAATAAATGTTTAATTTGATATTTTTTAGAAAGAAAAATGAATGAATAGTATATTTAAAATTAATCTCCCGAACAAACACACCCAATTAATACATCCGCTTTTTCTACACCCCTAACCCATTTCCTTTTTTTTATTTATTTTTTATTATTGTTATTTTCAAGGGGAAATTAAATTCGAGGGTAAATATATATGAGTGTGTTTGTTTGGGGTTTGGGATTTGAATAGTAAAAGTTTTGAATTTAAATAGTTGTATGATGTGATATGAATAAGTATTGATATGATGCTTTGAATGTAAATTGATTTTTAGTATAATATAAAAAATAAAAAATAAGTGTTTGATTTGATATTTTTGGAGAAAAAAATAGAATGAATACTATATTTAAAATCCAATCCTCCAAACAAAAATATACTCTATAGTAGATACTTTTATAAAGTGGGAACAAGCAGCCTTATTCAAATATTCTAAATTTAAAAGTATTTTTAAATTATTAAAATTACCGCATAGAATATAGTTATGTAAACATATATTTTTATTAGATTTTTTTAATGTATTTTAAAATTTTATAAATTATTTTTAAGCATTTGAAATTATCTAATGTAATTGAATGTATATTTATTAAAATTTTTATATAAATTATATTTTTAATTTTTGATTCAAAAATTAAAAGTTAAAAATATAATGAACTTTAAATAAATTTATAAATTATAGTATTTAAAAATATTAAATAATCTACTATATAATTCAATTTATATTTTCAAAATTTGATATTTTAATTATTTTTTAAATTTTACTTTAAATATAATATATAAATTAATAATTAAAATACCATTTTAATTAAATTTAAATGTATATATAATATATACTCCTATAAATTAATTATTTTTATTTTATCTTATTTATTTATTTATTATTATTATTATTATTATTATTATTATTATCAGACAGCTGGTGGATTCAAATTGTTTGGATTCAATTTGAGCAAAACAAACATCCATATATTATACTGCACATGCTCTAAGATCATCTACCATGCTAAAACTAAGTAACTTTTTCCAATAAATCTTTCTTTGCCCCATTATACTTAATTAGACGTAGGCGGCGGAGCCGTCCCAAAAGTTAGAAATAGGCAGCAAGCCGACCAAAAGTTAGAATAATAGGCGGCGGAGTCGACCCAAAAATTAGGAATAGGTGGCGGAGCCGACCATGTTGTATATACTAACCATAGTTATATTTATAGGTATATATATTAGAAGAACAAAATTAAGAATAAAAATAATAGTAAGAACAAAGTAAAGAACAAACTTACTTGAATAAAAACTTCTTTATTGATTCTTGAGATTGCAAGGTGAACAAGTACACAAAGAGAGAATTCTTTCAAGATCTATGCTTTAATTCTAGCTAGTGTGTTTACAATGAAATCATTCACCCAATTTATAGGTTAGGAATAGCTAAAGATAGCAAGTCTAGATCTAGGATATGATTTTTTATTTTCTAGATCTAGAATTTATTATTTTAAGTTTATGGATAAGATATATATGTATATTATTTTTATTATTTTATTTTATTTTATTATTATTATTATTATATATTTTTTAATTATATATCAAATGGATCTTGCGCTAATGGTCCTCCGAATGGATCACAACTTGATCCCTCTGTCGCATCATAATCGACTTGAGGTTTGCTTTGTTGATTTGTAATGAATTCCATGAATTGGGGGTTGCTACCGATTATTTCCATGAACTTGAGTATCTGTTGATGTTGTTGAGTATTCGGGGTTTTTGGAGCAGATGGTTCCTTTGAGACTTCGGGAATGTTCTTTTCACCCTGTGGAATGGACAGTGATTTGTTGCTTTGAGTAGTGGCTGGCGGATTTTTCGAAATTTCTTGAGTGCCTTTGTTAGCTTTTCACCCGTCTGGAAAAAATGGGCTACTGCTTGTTGATCACAAAACTGGGTGTTGAATTGGTTCCACAATTTGATTTTGAATTCTTGAACTAGTGATAATGGATTGGGTTTGTCGAAAGTCTGCAAAAATTTGAAAGACCAACAAAATATCCATGGAACTTTGAATTCGGCATGGAATAGTATTGGCTTCTGAAATTCTTCATCTTTGGACTTTTTGTTGAAGAGTTGAAAACCAAGTTGAACCTCGAGAGGAATTATATCCTTTTCTGGGCCGTAGAATACCCACCAATGGTAAAACCATATTGGAAAATTTTTTATACAATTTGAATGAAAAGTAAAAAACCATGAATGATCAAATGGTCGGAATAGAAATGTTCTATTACATGCCATCCGATAGTCATGGTATGTATACCCTTTTGGAGAAAAATTTACTGAAAACATTTTTGTGGAAAAGGGGGAAGCCCATTCCCGTTGGGAACTCACCTTTTTTATTATGTAGTTTGAATAGGCTACGCGGTCTGGATTTTGAGAATCTTTAGTATGGGTGAGTTCAATTGAATCAGAATTTACTAAAATGAGTTCATAAAACTTTTGGGTTTTGATGGGATCATCTGTGCTCCAGTTACATCCCATTGAAAACAGTCTTTGAGTGAATTGTTTAAGGGTATCTATATCAAGGATTTCTTTGAATCGGGTTAATGTGATATGTTCAGTAATATTTTTTGTAAAATATGAGGAATTAGTTGGTTGTCTAGGTGGAGTATGGGGAGCTTGAGTTTTGTCCATAGGTTGATTTTGTGGTTTTGAAATAGTTTGATTTTGAGAAGATTGGGTGGCTTGAATATAGGTTAGTGGGGTAAAATTGTAAAATGGTTGAAACCTGTTGTTTGTAGGAATCATTGTTTTGGGGATGAGTTCATAATCTTTTGCCTTTTGAGCTGTAGGTTGAGTTGGAGTGTTCATACCTACAAGAAGGAAAATTATAGTTAGGCAATAAAATAATTTGATATATTTTTTAGTTTTTTTAATTTTGTACGGGCTTTTGAATTTAAGGTGTTCCAGTATTCTCTATCGTCTTTTGTAAATAATTTAGGGTGTTTATTTGTAAAAAATGAAGTAAGTGAGCTTTTTCTTCCCTGAGTTGGGATAAAAAATTTGTTTTTCTAAGCTTATATATATTGAAGGTATGGTTAAAAGGAATATATTTAGGAGGAATAATGGATTTTGGTTTATGGTTTACCATTACCTTGCAAAAATTCCCGAGTAAGAAGATCAGACAATGAATTTAATGAACCATTAATGAATTCAATTTCAAAATCAAAGGCAGATAGGATAGCTTGCCATCTAGTAAAAATATGTTTTGAAACAAGATTTTGAACATCTTTTTGTAAAATTTCTTTTGCAGATTTACAGTCAATTTTTAATAAATTTTTTTAAAAATATAAATCATCTTGAAACTTTGAAATACATAAGACAATGGATAAAACCTCCTTTTTAATTGTTGAATAACTCTTTTGTGGTCCAAGCCGTACCCCTAAATGAAATCTAACTAACTGTTCTTTTGATTCTATTTTTTGTTTTAGTATTCCTCCATAACCTATGTCAGATGCATCTGTTTCCACTATCATAAATGCCTGAGGGTTTGGAATACCTAAACATGGTAGGGCTTAACTTTTTCTTTTAAGACTTGAACAATGTGTTTGTTTGGGGGATTGGATTTACTTTTCACTATTCATCCCATTTTTTCCTCAAAAAAACATCAAATCAAACACTTATTTTTCATTTTTTATATTATACTAAAATTCAATTTTACATTCAAAATATCACATCA